TGATACTATTTTATATTTTCATTAGTCTATAAGGTGCTACAAGGCCATTGTTTTTTATTTTTTATGTTTTCAAGACAGACTTCTGTCCTATGTGGCTTTTTTCTTGGTTCTAAAGTACGTTAATACTACATTTCTGATACTTCCCTTATTAAAACTTATTTTTGATTGATGTTGGCTCTTTGTCCTGCTTTTATATAGTTGTTGTCCCAGATTTCTGTGTCATAGTCTTCAGGAATTGTCACAAGCTTAAGAGAAAAACTTGCATAGGCTGTCAGAAGTTCCAACATATGAATCAAAAATACACTGGCGTTTGTTGTATTTTATTATGCAGCCTTAAATGGGTGACAGAAGATTCTTTTACACATCCTATCATGTCCATGGGGCTAAATTTTTGAAAGAATACATAACAATAAATATAAAGGGAATATTTTAAAAGAGCAACTTAAGAGACCAGACCAATTTAAAATCCTTATGTTTTACATGCAGCTGTATTCCTAACAGATCTTACAGCTGTATCATGGGCATTTAAAAATTATCTCATTTGTATGTGTGAAAATAATACCAGATTAAGTGACAAATTATAGAAAACTTTACATGACCATTTGTTTCCTTCTCCTTCATCCATATGCATTCTTGTTCCAGCAATATTTGTACATAACAAGAAAGAATGGAGAACAATGCTGCATTAGCTGTAATTCAGGCTAGCATCTGGTCCTGTGCTCTTAAAAATGAATATATTCAGTATTTCATTTGTATTTGTTTTTAAGAGGATAGGTTTTATTATGTTTTTGCTATAATTTAGATTTGTTGTTGTTACATGGTATGGTGCCCCTAGTATCCCCTCGTTGGGAGTAGAGAAGTGCTTTACAAGCAAAGAGCTGAATTCTGGATAGCTTCTGTGCAAGAACTGGCCAGCCTATTATTGAAGAGTACAATCCTTGCTTCCTCTTTCTGCCCCTGGATGAGGTAGGTATCTGAAATGGAGCTGGTAACTATGGCTACCTCTATACTTGGAGCTCAGAGTGTGATTCACAGCTCGCATACATAGTCATGATTGCTGTCATCAAGCTAGTGTGCTAAAATTAGTAGCAAGGCCACAGTATATTTGTGACAAAACACAAGGTGGTTTTGTGATATAGGCAAATATCTGTTATGAACTAATATGTCAGCAAATTCATTTTTACTGGTGTTAAAATGGTAGCCAATCTTGGGCTGGTCCTCATTAAATTAGTAACTTAGGGTATGTCTAGATTACATGCCTCTGCTGACAGAGGCATGTAAATTAGATTACCCGACATAGTCAGTGAAGCGGGGATTTAAATATTCCCCGCGTCCTTAAAATAAAAATGGCCACCACGCTGTGCTAGCTCAGCTGATCGTTGGCACAGCGCGGCAGTCAGGACGTGGATCGGTGGACAGGCAACGCTTTTGTTGACTGCTCCTGAAAACACTGTTTCATGAGGAATAAGGGAGCGGTCGACAAAGGTGTTCCCTGTTGACCGATCCGCATCTTGACTGCCGTGCTGTGCCAACGATCAGTTTAGCCGGCACAGCGCATCGGCCATTTTTATTTTAATGAAGCGGGGATATTTAAACCCCCACTTCATTGCTTATGTCGGGTAGTCTAATTTACATGCCTCTGTCAGCAGAGACATGTAGTCTAGACATATCCTTACAGTGCATTTTGTGTTTGAGTTTCAGCCTCCTGGATTTATATTCATTGCCTCTGTAATGTGAACCTGAGACTGGGAAATTTTAGTTGGGTGCAAGAAAATGTAGATGGGCCACAAAAATTGTTTCATGTGCTACAAGGAGGGGGAGAATTTTTAAGTTCATGTTTGGTACAGTGAAATTCTTACTGAGCAGTGACTGTTTTCCTTTGTTTCTTGGAATTATCAGTGTAATGTTATGAAATGACTTTTATTTCAAAAACAGATGCCTTGCAGATTATGTCTTATATTGAATTTTTGAGTGAGAGAACATTATCTCTGTTTTTCAGATTTTTGACACTTATGAGTGAACATTTAAAACTTTCCTAACAGATGTTTCCATCAATCATGCTTATAATTTTTCTTAATATACTTTCATTCCAAGTCTTTTAAAATGTCTTGACTGCACTATTAGAAGGCAAGGCATGCCAAGCTGTACCTTATATAGAGAGCTTTGAACTACAGTTTTTAACATTTTGCTCTGTACATAGAATCCAATTTTATAAGAATTGATAGCAACATTTTAGTAAGTCCTAAAGTCCTTTGGGAGAAGTAGTGTACTTAGACAGATGAGCAGTCATCTAAGTTTATGAGGACGTAGCTATGATATAGCATTGCAAATTTGTCTTTAAGCTACCACTGTTTTTCAGATACTATAGAAACATGTTTATATACTCATTATGCTCTCTCAACAATGGAATTTATAAACGGTTACAATATGTAAAATTTTCTTGATAGTACATCGTTGGAAGATCACTTTTAATAAGCATTACATCATAGTCTTTGTTGTATAATAAAAAAACTAGAGATACATAAACTTTCCTAAACTTTTTGCAAATATAGACCTCTGTGTTAAGGGATATGAGATGAATTTCATTCAAATGTACATTAATCCAAATGCTGTTCTTGTATTAATACAAAATTATATTCTGTACATTGACTTATTTTACCATCAGGCTGTGAACCAACATTTTAAAATCCTTTTATAACAAAACAAAATTATGCTGGCTATTGATTACTAGACCATTACAGCCTTAATAATAGCTTTCAGGTCAGCATTTCCCTGCCTTTTCCTGTGGTGTTTTTGAGCTATGTACCATACAGAACAATCAATATTGTATGTATTAGACCATTTACATTAACTCTCAAAAATCCGATAGGTCTCCATTTTTAAAGGAAATAACAATTTCATCTCATTGTGTCCAGAAATTGTAAAACAATTAAAGAAATATTGACTTGGGAAAACAAACAAGAATTTATTATATCCTTTTTCCTTATTTCACATTGTGGTCCTGATCCTGTTCCCATAGAAGTGAGTGGGAATTTGCCTGGCCTTCGGCTGTGGAATGCTCTTCCACCAGAAATCAGGATGACCACGTATCTTGCCACCTACCAAGCAAAAAGTAAGACCCACATCTTTGCAAAAGCCTTTTCACCCTAGCAACCTAAAATAATGGCCTGGTATCATTTCCTTAAAGATGAGTTAAAGGAATATTCCACCCAAAATAATCATGCAAAGTCTAAAATGAGGGAAGGAGAAGAATAGAGTCCTACAGGTGTTTTGATGTCTTATGTAATGTTCTGGATACCCAGTGGCTCCCATGATGTGATGACTGAGAGATAGAGTATGTAGGCTGCTGCGGGATCCCATAAGTAGGACTCCAATTATAGACCAAAACAAATTTCCTGAGGGGTCCACTCCAAGGCTAAATGAAGTCTTTTTGTTTACTTCAATGGGCCTTGTATAAGATCCTAGATAAAAAGCTAAAATCTTAATCTGATCTTGAAATGTGTGGATCATTTAAAACTAAATGTAGGGAGCTATTTGATTTTTCTCTGACATGACAAGCAAAGAAGAAAAATATACGTGCTATTGTATGCAATATAAACTGTAGAAGTGTGGATAAATTCTCTTTGGGTGATGTACAACATTCTTTAATCTAGACATTTTGTAATCAAGTATTTTTATGTAGCGTTATTGTATGCCATGTATTCAGAGGACTACCATCTACTGAGTAAGGTGGTGCATGAAAGGAAAATTCAAGATATTTGTTGTCAAATTATATGCACACTATATTGTGAAATATCAATGCATTATAAAGAAAATCCTAAATGTTGAATAGTGCCTGTGCATGTGAGTAATCCCATTTAAGGTTTGTATGAATACATGTTACTTAATATAAGTAAGAGTTGCAGAATCTGGCTTTGTGGATCATCAAAAGATCCCCTAATATGGATGTACTATGATCTATGAATATTTATATTCTGATTTCTTTTCCTTTGTGTAGAAGCGAATTGAGTACAAAGGCCTTTACATAGTTAAACATTTCTACTCCCTATTTTGTATTTTGTAACCTTTCCTTTAAAATCCTACAATGGAAATGTTGAATATTATACTCATTGCCCCATTGTACATTTTATTGTACCTTTGTCATGAACATATATTTACCAGGTCCTCAAGGTCAAATGGGATTGTTGCAGTATGATAATATCTTAACAGTCTTCATTTGAGCTAAGGAGAGTACAGTTTAGAATGCATTTCCTCTATCTTCTTTTACTAATAAATAGGGCTTATGTTTTTTGAGCTTAGCCAAAAAACATGGATAGAGCACACCTTATGCAACAAATAAAATGAATACATGAAAATTGGCGTTTATCCAGTAATCACTAGAAAAATACTGAAAATGGTTATTTGTATCCACATGCTTGTCTGTATGACCAGTAATGCAAACTATGGGGGTTTGCCTTCTAAAGCACATCAGCATGTTGCACTGTGTAGAACCCTGCTGATAAACACTAAAGATTCCCTAGTGAGATATAATGTAGTGCTCTTGGAAACAGAACTGAATTAAAGTTCACTAGGGACTATTACAAAGAGATTGCTCATTACAGTATCTACTTCTGTAATAAGTTATATATATATATATATATATATAAAATATCCATTACTCACTACCTTATGTACAAAAAGAGCCCTGAAACCTCCCGCTATCCTGATTTTTATACATATACATAAAACTCAAAATAATCCTCAAAAATGAAATTACCCACTCGCCAACCCCCAAATGCAGGAGCCCTACTAATAAATGACTGAAAAAGTCAGAATGTGGCAAAAGACTATACTTCAGACTTGGAAAACAGAGTCTACTCTGAGGCATGCATCTTCTGTCTTCTTTGTATATCTTTGTAGGAACCCACAGCATTTATCACATAATATTTATGCGGTTCATTTCCTGGTTTTAGAGGATGAATTTGTTTTTTACAGCATGATTCTTTGTCTTCTTTTCATAGGCATTTCCTATTTAAACATGGATCTGGTTCTTCAGCTATCTTCAGTGCAGCCAGTCAGAACTACCCTTTAACATCCAATACTGTTTACTCTCCACCTCCTAGGCCACTTCCTAGAAGTACATTTTCTAGACCTGCCTTCACTTTTAACAAACCTTACAAGTGCTGCAACTGGAAGTGCACTGCTTTGAGTGCTACAGCTATTACAGTTACCCTGGCACTGTTGCTAGCCTATGTTATTGGTAAGCTTTCTGTTTCTTCTCTTTACCCTTTCTGTTCAATTACCATACTTGTTTTCAACTTAATATAAATACCATGTTTTACTAATAAGATTTTCAGGGGAGTGCTTCATAAATCCCAGCCAGCAAAATATGATACAGGCCTGAGATTGAAAACAACATGGAATTCTAATTAACTCAAATTCTGTTACCTAGAAATACTACCTATTAAAATATTATTCAAGTCAACATGTTTACACTAGTAAAGGATTCCCAGTGGTTTTATTTACTGTCATTGACCATATTCCCTTAAATTAAAAAGTTGGTCTGATTTTTCACACCAAGCGACAATTTTTTGCTGATAATTCTGTTAGTTTTAAATAATGTTGTTGAAGAACTTTCAGTTGGCTTTTGGCTTTGATAGCAACATTTAGTTTCTCTGATGCGATTACAAATTAAAACACTGAAATTATCCCCTTCATATCAACTTCTTTGACTTGATTTGTAGTTATCTTTAAATATACTTAATATTTGTGCCATATTTTCTTTCTAAAATATATTGTATTGAATTTATGTTTGAGGGGAAAAGTGTTGCAGATTTGAAATCCACTCTTAATTTATTTCAGGCTCATTTTTGCCCAACAATAACTCTACAGTTTTGTTGTTACAGTGCACTGACAAAATCAATCAAAATGGCTAAACAGTCCTCCCTCCTTTTGGAAGAACAATTTTGTGGGTGGACTTGGAGTATTTCCCAGTGGACCTCAAATCTTACTGACTTTCTAAGGCACATCAGTTTGGCTGAACATTAATTTCCACATTTAAATGGTTTTGTAGTCTAAAGTTTGAATTGCATCAAATATGCTACTCTTGAATTTTAAAACGTATGGCTGTAATTCTCCAAACAAATGGAATTGTTTTGTAGATTTGTGTACATATTCACACATGCACACTCTATTATTTCTTAGTTTTTATAATGATCACTTCATAAGCAATGAGTATGAATACTAAATATGGGGTCATCTGAAAGTATATCATAAAGTTTACCATAAAAGTATTAAGTATGTTGAGTTAGACCAGATATCTGCAATACTGCCAAGCATGGCAGGGTCTATATATAATTTTACATAGACATTGGACATACTCTCTTCTCTTAAAGTGCTACCATTAAAAAAAAAGTGACTGGTCCACACCGCACAACTGAGTCAACATAATGCAGCTTATATCAACTAATTATGTCAGTTTACACGATACAGCCTTGTTACTGCCTATGTAAGTGCCTTACTACATCCTACTATAGTAACTCCACATCCATGAGAATAGGAGTAAGGCTATTGTCAGGGTAGTTAGGGAGACACAGAGTCCTTGTAGACACTCTGATACTTATATCCACTGTTGGCTGTTAGTCTTGTCAATTTCACAGATCCATGCCATAAAACTGACAAAGTTTTTCCCATCCCCAGTTGAGCTGATGCCCACTGCACAGGCTCTCCATTCGGAGTTGGTCCCAGCTTCCCGCTCCTAGCTAAGCTGCTGCCCAGACTCCCCACAAGGGATGTGTCTAGACTACATCCCTTTTCTTGAAAAAGGAATGTAAATTAGACACTTCAAAATTGCAAATGAAGCTGGGATTTAAATTTCCCATGCTTCGTTTGCATAATGGTGGCCACGAGTTCTTTTTGAAAAGGGGCTTTTTCAAAGAAAAATGGCTGTTTAGACAGGGATCTTTCGAAACTGAAACCTTTTTTCAAAAGTTCCTGTACGCCTCAAAAAATGAGGGGTTTTTTTTACCCTGACTCTCAGCTCCCCACACTGTCCCTCTTTGGTCGGTGGAAGCTCTCCCTATCAAAATGTGAACCAGCAACCAAAAGAAGGTAGCGTACACAAGAACCACCACCACCACCATAATTACTAAAGTGGCTGTACATTGACCTAATATAAGTCAACTTAAGTTTTTAGTTTAAATATGGTCTTGGGGTTATGGAATAAGGAGCCTTTTGCTTCTCGTTTGTATTTAAAATATGGGCTATATTAATACAGATTGACTGGTCCAGGAAGAGGGATTTTGCTGGACCAGTGGAAATTATTTATGGCCCCTTGGCACCAGTCCCCCAACCTTGGCATGGGCTTGCCCCATTGCCCTGGTTTCTCAGACCCACCAGGCATCCCAGAGCCACTGGCAGCTCACTGCTAGCGGCCCATTGCCCTGCCTGCCTGCTGGGCACCCAACTGCCAGCCTTCCACCCGACTCACAGGTTTAGAGGTGTTCAAGCTGTAATGACAAAGTCATTCCCATTTGGCCAGTGTTCATTGCCTAGATGATGAGTTTATTTTCAGAGTTGTTTCTAGTAAACAGATTCCATGTACACAAATCTCTTATCACCAATGATATTGTCTTTGTCAATCTCTGCTGCAAATGCAGTGCAGGGACACAGAAGCTGAATTGCCCTCTCATGTGTTCCTATAAAGGGTTTGTTGGTGGGGCATTGTGTTGTGCATTGCTGGTGTTTTGCTGGCACTATTTCCTCTTATCTCTAACTGGTTTGTAACTAAACAGTGGATTTCAGTTTCCAGTATCAAAAAGTACTATCCTACGAATTATTTGTTGTTTTTCCCTCATTTCATTTTTGTTGGCTTTTTTGTATTTGATTAAATATTTTCACTTACAAAAGCCAGTAATATATTTTTCTTACTGTACCCTAACAGAGATGGAAAACATCATATAGGTGTATAGAGTGAAAGCATACATGGTAATTAAATCATTGCTGCCATGTAAGTTTGATTTTGATGAACATCTTGCTTTGCTTTGCAATGCTAATTTTGTCTAAAAAATTGAAAGACCCCAGATCACCAGAGGTGTATACCTTCAACACAAACACTTTTTCACAGCTTTACACATTCATATTTTGAATATATATATTATCTATGCAATAATAATATTAGGGAGTATATTTTAAAGATTTGCCGAAAACGTCATTGCTATCAGTTAATCAGTTGAAAATGTATGGGGAAAACCCACATTTGTGGATAATAAAAATGTTGCTTAGGATTTGTAAAGTGTATTGTGGAATTTGGATCACCAAATCTCATGGAATTTCAAAGTGATTTGGGGGTCTAAGTCCCTTAAATATCTTTAAAAATCCTATTAATTGCATCTGACCAAGTGGGTCTTTTCCCACAAAGCTTATGCTAAAATAAATTTGTTAGTCTTTAAGTGCCACAGGAGTCTTTAAGGTGCCATAGGAGTCCTGTGGCACCTTAAAGACTAGCAAATGTATTGATGTTTTTCCCCTAGGCTGTGTCCAGACTCAGGGGTTTTTTCGAAAAAAGTAGCCTTTTTTCGAAAAAACTTCCCCTGCATCCAGACTCAAGCCGCGTTCTTTCGAAATTAATTCGAAAGAATGCGGCTTTTCTTTCGATGGCGGTAAACCTCAATTTACGAGGAAGAACGCCTTCTTTCGAAAGTTCCTCTTTCGAAAGAAGGCGTTCTTCAATGTAAATAGGGCTTCTTCGAAAGAGAGCATCCAGACTCACTGGATGCTTTCTTTCGAAAAAGCAAGCCGCTTTTTCGAAATTTCTCCGTGCAGTCTAGACGCTCTCTTTCGAAAGAGGCTCTTTTGAAAGATGCTTTCGAAAGAGCCTCTTTCGAAAGAAGCCTGCAGTCTAGACATAGCCCTAGTGTTTTCACTGTGAAAAACTGTCATTCCACAAAATACTCTGAGTTATTTCATGCCATCACTATCTTAATCTTACTTTGCTCTTTTGGAACAGTTTTTGGATGAATGAATTATCCTGCAACAGCTATCTGGCCAACATCTCCCAAAGCAAAGTTGTACCATGATTAAATAGTCATTAGTACTGCTTTCATTTTTCCAATTGAAAATTATACAAGCAAGACTCATTTTTATAGATAGGAATGAACAGTAGCTTGACACCTTGTGTGTACAGTGCTTGAATAAGCAGATTTTGTGTGAAAAGCGTAGTGAGAGTTGACATAATCACTGAAAATAATATATAGCAACATTTCTCAAATAGGGGGTCATGATCCATTGGCAAGACACAAAGGTGTGCTCAGAGGAGGCATAGCAGAGAGACTAAAATGGATGATGTCTGCTAGAACCCAGGAGGAACAAGTTAAGGAGAAGGCGGAAAAAAGTGGTTCTTCCTCCTTTCTCTTGTTTTTGCTGAATCATTATTGCTGTAGTTTGTCACTCTTCCATCCCTATTTGCCAGTGCTGCCTCTGCTCCAGAATTAGCAGCCCTTAAAGATAATACAACGAATGATTTGGTAGCACTTTATAGACTAACGAAACATGTAGATGGTATCATGAGCTTTTGTGGGCACAGCCCACTCCAGCCATCTGAAGAAGTGGGCTGTGCCCATGAAAGCGCATGATACCATCTACATGTTTCGTTAGTCTATAAAGTGCTGCCAGACCATTTGGGTGTTTTTTCTGTAACAGACTAACCCCCTGAAGCTCCTTAAAGATAATGTGTCTCCTCCTCGCAGCTTCTCACTGTCTGTAAACAATGCTTCCTTGAAGTGGAGAACACTGCAAGTAGATAGATAGGAAGTGGAAGAAAGGAGACAAAGTACCTTCTCTAACCATCACTCAGCATCCTCACTCAGTAACACACAGCATCAACTCCCACTCAGAGGAAAGTAACCCAATCAGTATACACCATCATCCCCCAACAAAAACCAGCACTGTTACTTATTGTGATTTCAGTTCTCTCATCCTAAAATGTACTCCTCTCAAGCAGCTCTGTTTAACAAATGCAGCAGCATTATGTATTAACCAAAGTTTCTGACATCTAATTCATTGTGTAGCCCCATGAATTGCTCACTGAAATAATAAAGCCAACAGATGACAAAGGCCTAGATGCAGTTAGCAACAGAAGGAGTTTTGACTTTCTGGAGCAGATGTGAAAGCGGGCTTGGCCACTATGACTATGTTATTGTTTAAATGCAGCTGAGTGTATAATAAGCTGCCTTTATTGTAAATTTATGTAACAATTAGATG